CCCACTCAATTAGGTGCATTTATATTATCTCACAGTAAAAAAATAATGAACAATTTCATTCACGTAATAGATGGATTTTATAAGCCGGAAATATACTATACAGATACCGATAGTTTATACATTTCGTCTAGTAATTGGAATAAATTAAATGAAGCTGGGTTGGTGTCTGAAAACGAATATAGCAAAGGGAAGAATGATTACGGTGATGGTGGAATCATATTTGGTTTATATTTAGCGCCAAAAGTAAAATACAATATCATTCTAACTTCCGAGGGTGTTTTAAAAGAAAAGAAAACGTTTAAGGGTTACTCTAACTATAAGATTAAGGTAGAAGACTACATTCAATTAGCTAGTGGACATGACGTAACGAATGCATTTAAGAAACCTTGGGTAAAAAGTTTTACTGATGGAATAGTTATTCCTAATGAAAAACAAAAGAAAGTTTTCAGAAGTTATCTGAATCTCGTTAAAAGAAAAGCACCAAACAATGAAGGAATTATGTATCCTTACAACAATAAAGATGAGATGTGTTTGGATGAAAACTATGAATTTGATGATTTCGATTATCTAACTATTCAAGAAGAGAATGAAGAGTGCTAATTTTTTTGTTTTAAATGAAGTTGAATAACAATTTCCTCGTTACCAAAATCTATAAACCTATTTTTACCATCTTTGATTTCCAGATTTATATCTTTAATCATAAAGGAATTAAGTGGTAAATACGTCGTTTGAAATGGTTTCTCTATAATTCTATATCCAATAGGAACAGTGAATGATGGAAGGCTGTAAATAATCTGACGTTTGTATTTATTGAAAAATCCACCGTTTATTAAATTGCAATGTATATTTATCACATCGAGATCATTCTCGATATTAGCTTTGTGTGGTGCTAAAGTGGATTGGGTGTATATTTTTTTTATCAAAGCCTAGTAACGTATTCAATGAATTTTCTACGTTGAAATCAACTTGACTATTATTTCTTAATATCAATTTTATTTTGTTTAGATTCAAATTACCTTCGAATTCGATATTGTTTTTACCATTGACGCTTTCTGCATATTCAGATAAGTATTCGTTAATGGCTATGTATTCATAGCTTCCTGGTAGTAAACGTATGGTTTTGAATGTAGCTCCATTATCTGTTGATATTTTTATTTGGTTATTTTTTTCGTTGATATTTCTAATGGAATTGTAAACAGAGAAATACTTTAATCCCAATTCATATTCTTGATTGCGATCCAGTTCGTACTCATAATCTAGAGATAATTTGATGTCTGATTTATTCGAGGTGATGACGAATAGTTGTTCTTTATTTGACATTTTTAATCACGCTTTTATAATCATTTTTATCTATGATACCTTTCTCTAGGAGTCTTTTTAATATACAATTCACTTCATTAAATTGTCTGTGCGATTGATGTCCTTCCTTCATGGCCGCTAATATTACTCGTAATCTATTAAGCAATTCTTCGTTGTTGTCGGATAAAAAACGTTATACCTTGTCCACTTTTTTCTCTAGCTATCAGGTCTTCCATTTCGTCTATTTCTTGTATGATTGGTGGATAATCATCTGCATAATCATCTGATTCCTCTTCATCAGGAATTTATTCAAATATGTTTCAACTGCTTTCAATCTTCTTGTTTCGGGTCCTGACTTTCTTATTGCATCTAGAAATTTGGAGTATGCTAGTAAATCCTTGTAATCGGCAGTACCAATATACCCGCCATTCATTAAATCTATTAATCCTGTCGTTAATGTAAATATTAAGTTTTTTGTGTCGATTTTGAATATAGGGGAATTTGCCCTAAATTTAATTCTAAATCCATTAAACAATAACCCCTCATCATCAATGATTGGTGTAATACTCTTTGGTAAATCTGCTTTAGGGTTTGAGAAAAGACGATTTATATCATCTAATGTCCTAATTATGATTTCATCATCTTTAATGGGATATTCTATTTGATGAGGTTCTATAGGAGCTATGGGTTCTATAGGAGGGATGAGTCTCTTTTTAATATCCTCTTGAGATTTTAATATGGGTTGAAATAGAGTCTGTAGATTTTCCGTTAATCCGAGTTGTTGTAATCTGTTATTTTCAACTTGGGTTTTTATTTTATTCTTAGCTTTGATATATTCTTTGTTTCTTTTTAAAATATTAATCCAATCCATTTTTAAAAAAATAAAATTAACATATATAGTTCATAACTCTTTCACCCGCAGGTTTTCTAGTATTTACAAATACATATCCATGATCATCTGGATATCTCCATTGAGCTTTACAAACCTTTTTAAATGCATCTCTGTCCATTCCGTGATTTATCGATTGAACGATTTGAGATAAATCTTTGTCGTTTAATTCAAATAATAAAAAACAATTTGCATTTTTTCTAATGAACATAGAATCCATCCCGTAAAAAGATTGGGGTTGGTATATGCAGTGACAGTTGTGATGTCTTCCTTTCGTGAAGAATTCTTGTTGAACGGCTTGATTTCTTTGCGCCACGCAGTCGTCAAACAACATTAAGTTCTTTCGCTCGCTATCAATTTGAGACAAATCTAGATCATTAACATTTTTCGTAAGAAAAACTTTTATATCCGTTGGTTTCTTTCCTTCGATGTAGTTATCTATGAAATCTTTCAA